GCATTGACCTCTGAAACAACCCGACGTTTTAGGCAGCATTTTCTCCTAATTTAAGCAACTTTTTTCGAGATTAATAAATTATTACTAATTAAGATATTTTAAAAAGATTAAGCATTGTTACCGATCCTAGTCAGCAAAGCCCCTCCTACATTTATATCTTATATATTAAAACAGAAGTCATGACTTGATTTCATGTGTAATTCTTTAAAAAATGAACTGTTACTAGAAAGTTATGTTACATTAACTCTCTAATAATATTATCATTATTATATCTTATAATATGCTTAACAATTTTGTTTTGGTAAATTACCCCACACCTTCCAACTTAGTCATGCAAAATATGTCAATAGATATAAATTTAAGAATCTTCTATTATTTATAAGGAAATATGTCAATAATAGTTAATGCATCCAGAATATACTAACAAAAATCACAGATTATTAATATGTAATATTTATATACCTTAACAATATTTACACGTTATATATATTAGATAAATTTATTTCGATGTAAAATTTTAAAACTGTATTGTTTAAAAAAAAGAAATTGTTTAAAAAGTTCCTTTTTAATAAAATTTTTATAATATTAATTTATGAAGCTATAAGTTTAGTTTTTAGCAAAAAATTATTCGAAGTTTATATTATCTTTGCAAATTAAATTACACTAATATTTAATCAAGCTCTATTTATATTACTTTATCTAAAAATGAAATACTAATCTAACAAACAAGAAAATATAGAAGAAGAAACAAACACATGTTTGAAAGTCATGTATAATATAGAAAATTTGAAACAATCTATTTGATTAAAACACTTATTATATAATATTATTATGTTTGAAAAACATTTACTATACATATCGTTAATATGTGATTACTATAATATATACCAATTTACAAGTGAAAACAAAATGTTTATATAACTATAAACGAAAACAAACATCCGCGCGGTTGCGCGGATCAAAATCTAGTTAGTTTTTAAAAAATAAGACAGAGAAACATGAACTGTAAACAACTTGGCCCATATCCTTCAAAAACAAGAGAGAGAAACATGATCTGTAAATTGTAAGCAACTTGGCCCATATCGCATCGATTTCCATATCCCCTCATATCTCAATGATAATAAATAAAATAATTTTATAGTATAGTCAAAGAAAATCAGAAAATAATACAAAAAAAAATGAAAGAGACAACATATTGTCCGCTTTAATGGTGTGTCACAAGGCATTCTAGAATCATTGAAATGTAATATTTAAATCACATCTGTAATTACGCAAAAGCGGAGAGGGTATTTACGTAATTTACAACAAGAAGACGGAAAGTGGGCGTGGTGGAGAGCGATGATAAGAAAGAAGGGAAACGCGTCTCCATAGGCTCACATTCCATTTCATTTCCTCTCTCTCTTTATTATTATCAATCTCTCTCTCTGCTCTCTATTCAACTCGCCTGAGGAGGTGAAAATCAATAAAGATGGCGCAGAGAACAGAGAAGGAAGAGACGGAGTTCAAAGCCGCCCTCGAATCCTTGACGACCACAACCACGCCGCTATGCTCAAATAACTGCGGCGTTACAGCGAATCCAGCGACCAACAACATGTGTCAGAAATGTTTCAACGCATCCATCTCCGCCGCAGCCGCAGGTGTAGATTCCCCTTCGATCTTGAAGAGAACGTCGAGATCCGTCAATATAAGGCCACCACAAACCAAAGTTGTTATCCGTCCTCGGGAGATCGATCCGGTTAAGAGAGATCAACAGACCGTGAACCGGTGTTCTGGTTGTCGGAAGAAAGTTGGTTTGACCGGGTTCAGATGCCGCTGCGGTGATCTTTTCTGCTCCGAGCATCGTTACTCGGATCGACATGATTGCAGCTATGATTATAAAACAGCCGGTCGTGAGGCGATCGCTAGAGAGAATCCGGTTGTGAAGGCGGCGAAGATGGTTAAAGTTTAAAATGTTTTTTTTAAATTCAAATTTGAAAAAAGACAAAAAAAAAAAACAATCTTCAATCGCGGTTGGTTCAATCGGACAGAGAGATGATGCTTCGGAGACATTGGTTTGATGATGGTGTCTGTTTTGTAATGAAAAGATCAGAGAGATTCTCTTCTCGATTGAATCTGTAACTGAATTTTATTTTTTTTACCTCTTGAATTATATTAGTGTATGATTATTATTATTGTAGCTTTACAGATTCATGAATTTTATTTGCTTCGGATGTGAGATAATAAACTCATCAAAGACGAGTTTTGGAGTGGCATGTTTTAGGTAGATTCGGTAGAAATGAAGGGTGTTTTTGGTAATTTAGGAAACGTGTCTCTTGTTTCGTGTGCGTCACAACTCACATCCCCTCGACAAGGTTTGCTTGGCGTATAAAAGAGAGGCCAATAACGTGTTTGAGTTGTATGGCTTATTTTAAGTAAACTATAAACAAGATTTTTACGCATTCTTAAAAAAGAACAACTTGTAACTTTTCAACTTAATTAACTTAACCCTCTTTATATGATGCAACATCATGTGATTTGCACAACATTTATCTCGTGAAAGAAAAAAGTGGTATATCTCATGCAACTATCTTTATTTATTAGTAAAACGAATAATATGACTATTACACGCAGGTACACCCGTACACGTATAGAGCCCAGCCCTACTAGAAAAGTCTTCTTTTGATTAGGCCTGCTCTTTGGTCCAAGAAATAATGCAGCTACACACGTTTAGTTTCAGATGTCAAACATCAGCTCTGAATATGAGGAGAATAGACAATTGGTGTAATGTTTAGGAATGAAACTTGAAGTTGAAAACTGGACATTTTCTCTAAAAAAAAAAGTAATGGACATTTTCTTATATAATAGCGCCATATATGTCTTATAAAAGGTCATATTAGCGGTGGAACAAGGAGTCTACAACCGGAAACGAGATTCAGCTGAGACTGGGAACAACATTGTAGTGTAGCTCCAAGTGTTCCTTGTATGACTAACGTTCGAACAGAATCACAACTCTGTTTTATAGATAAAAGAAAAGCTTAGGAAAAAAAAGTGATCATTTTATTCTTCTCTATAATCATAGTCTAAACTTATTGATGACATTAGTATATATGGATATTAAAAAAATGTATTGAAAGTAGTTTTGTTCCATTTTTCACGGAGACAACAAGAGGAACACATTCCCACAAGACAACCCAACAACACACAAGATAGACACAACCCTAGCTCTAACGAACAAGACAATAAGATTCTTAGCAACCTGTAATGTCAACGTAAGAATCTGCAATCTCCCAGCTTCCTCCATCTTCTTGAAAAAAATACGTCAACGCCACCGCGAACTAGTGGATCAAATGGTTTCTTATGGGAGAAGAAGAGTGGAAATAATGATGAAGAAAGGCGTTGAGGGATGAAGAAGAAGAAGATAAGGGTTTAAGGAATTTGGAAGGTAATCGACGAGAGATCATCCTAGTAGCTGGAGATTTCAATTGGAAGCAAGAAAGGAACACAAACTTGCAAGGCCTTTCTTACTAAATGGTGTATTGTAACCGAAGACACAAAGTAAAGGAATGCAACACTAGACTAAAGATGTTTATTACTTTTAGCTATGAAAAGGCAAAAGCAACCACAAGAACAAGTAGCACATTTGACATCCATGTCTATCCCCCAAAACCCAACAACAAAGTCTTCAAAGACAAGGAAACAAACTCAAACACTATACATGCGGAGTGGCTTTGATTAAAGGGAAACCAAAAACGAAGAGAGAGCTTGAAATGCAATAAAAGTTTATCTTTCCTTGAGTCAGTGATGTAAACCGTTTCCATTGCTATATACATTGCCGTTCTGGTAATTTTTCCCTGTTGCAGTTCCATTGGCCACTCTATTTGTAGAAACTTTGTTGACCTTGCCATTTGCTTGGAGAACAGCTTCTAGACACCCAGACGCTGCTGCTATAAGACCTGTTTGTATCAAAAATGATTCTTAGTAATCCCACAAAACCATCGATACAAGTTAATATAACCGAGAGAAATTACCTAAAAACAATGCCGAAGGTTTTCCAGGTCTGGACTTGAACTCAGGATGAAATTGAACACCCACAAAGTATGGATGGTTTTGTAGTTCCACAATCTGAACAATGAATCGCAACATGACGGAAGGATTGATATACTGTTCCAAGCTCACTGAGTTTACACGTTAAACAGAGTTTCTACGAGCATATTACCTCCATACGACGCCCAGTCTCATCCTTGCCAGCAAATGAGAGCCCAGCATTCTCAATTTTTTGTATCATATCTGGATTTACCTGCCATTATAAAACATAGTCCACTTTTAAATACTGAGCTCAAGTAAAAGAATGTTCAAAAGAAGAAGCTAAAAAACATTACCTCATATCTGTGTCGGTGTCGCTCATCAACAAACTTAGCATTACCGTACCTAAAAACAGAGAATATAAGTTATATAGGCTTTGGAAACAAACCTTAAAGAGTTATCATGTGCTACTATATTTTGAATCTGTTATGTGCTTACAATTTAGCAGACTTGCAATCAGGAACCTGAAAGTAAGTTCTCCTTGAACCCAAGCGCATTGTGCCACCCATATGAGTTGTTGATCCCTTAAAAACAGATTGAACAAGGTTAAAGACATTTTAGAAATTAAAAGCATGTAGTCAGTCAAATGAAAAGACTATAATATGGTATAGTACTTCTGGCATAAAAATGACGCAAGGGCTTGGCGTTTCTGGTTCAAACTCTGTGATGTTTGCATCCTCAAAGCCAAGAATGGAGCGGGCGAATTCAACAACAGCCAGCTGCATTCCCAGGCATATGCCAAGGAAAGGGACTTGGTTTTCACGGGCGTACTTTGTAGCAAGTATCTTCCCTTGCACTCCTCTATCACCAAAACCACCTGGTACTAGAATACCATCAGCACCCTGAAACAAGTAAAATGCTGAATCTCAATGTCTTTAATGAATTGGCGTACCAGTCTCTATTAGGATTAACCTACCTTCAAAAGATCCCATGCAGCTTTATGGACATCTGGTGACTGCAATGGCAAGTCGTACAAAGGTTCATGAGAATAAATACAGTTGTAGCACACTGAGAGAGAAACGAAGAAAAGACTCACTTCGTTTGCTGTAATCTCTTCAAGGTCACTTGCTGCAACCCAATCTACAACAAGCTTCTTGTGACATGCAACAGACGCATGCAAAAGGGCCTGTAGACAAATGAAAATCCCGCTTCTCAGAATACTCAATACATACTACACCCGGTTACGACATAAACTAAATGTTGGGTTTAAAATGTCTAATTATTTTCTGATTTAGTCAAGACCAGAGAGAGCCAGTTACCTTCAACACGGAAAGGTAAGAATCAGTAAGGCCAGTGTACTTTCCAACCATAGCAATTCTAACCTGAAAGAAAAGAACATTGAGAATGAACCATAGTTTCTATTATATAGACACGCTGGCCTCAAAATAATAATTGGGGAAAATATGACTAACAGGTTCTTGTAGGTTATCATAGATTTTAGTTCTTGCAGTCCATTCTGTCACGTCAGCCTCTACAGCTTTGCTGCAAAAAAAAAATGTCAGTTAGTAGAGAAAAATTAATCACAGCAAAGCTAAAGTGTGGAACCTAGAGCAGGATAAAGATTACACTTATAGACAAGGAAACAAAAAGTAAAAAGATGGTCTAGAGACAAACCCAAGGAGGTTCAACTCTTTTAAGATTGCTTCATGAACCTTTTGATCCTATCAAAACACACAAAAAGAGTAAGAAGAAGAGAAAAAAATCAGCACCGCAACAAGCTCCTTTGATTTCGTAAGTAGGGCTAGAATCTAGCACTATTTAACTTACCCTTAAAAGCAGCGGAACGTGCCAGATATTTGGAACGTCATAGAGTGTAACAATATTCTCTTCCTAGGATACCAAAGAAAAGCAGCAGAATGTTTACTTAAGACTTAAATGAGATATAACATCTCTGTTCTAATAAGAGGTTAACTTTAAAAAGAAACAAATACCGGCACATGGCAAAATTGAGATAGTTTCATTTTCACATTGTCTTCAAGTGCCTGTTTCAAAATAAGAATTGATAAGATGAAAAAAACAAAACTCATGGCTAATCGCTAACACTACAGCAAATGAAAAGTTTTGGAGAGGTTATTACCTTCGTGCTGCGGCATGCAAGGGTATTTGGAGTCAAACCAAGGCTTCTGAGTCCTCGTACGCTATGCTGGGTTGGCTTTGTTTTCTGCAATACAGATGTTGAAACCTCAACTGTTACATATTAATAGAATAGAATCTTCATGGAAAGATATGAAAACCCCAGAAAATTACCTGTTCACCAACAACACTGAGAATAGGCACAAGGCTCACATGAACAATGCAGAAATTACCAGGCCCTAAGAAAAAAAGACAGAAGGTGATGGAGCCGACAATCAATAGCCTAGTGGATCTTTGAAGCGTTAATACGAGCACAGCTTACCAACTTTATAAGAGAATTGACCAAGGGCCTCAATGAAGGGCATAGATTCAATATCACCTGCACAGAACATAAGTAAATAAAAGCCACTCATCTGAGTAATATCAACCAACAAAAAAGTACCTATAGTCCCTCCTAGTTCAATGACACAGACATCAGGAGGACCTTCCTTTCCATCCACTGGAACATTAGCAACACGCTCAATCCACTCTTGGATTGCATCAGTAATATGCGGCACCACCTTGATGAAAGATAAACGCTTTGTGTCAAACACCAAGTCAAATTAGAATCAGAGGAAGTTAAGAGCACAAGTAGATAATGTGAGAACCTGTATGGTTTTTCCAAGGTAATCCCCTTTCCTTTCCTTGTCAATAACTGCCTGCAACATCAAGCCAAAAATGTTCTAACCAGGTTCTAACATGAGATAAACTAAGAGGTAGTAGTAGACAGTACCTGGTATATCTTTCCGGTTGTTAAATTATTGTCACGGGTCAAAGTACTGTCTAAAAACCGCTCATAGTTTCCAAGGTCCAAGTCCACCTAAATGTTCACCGGTTAGATACACAATGCATCAGTTTTATACAGACAATCTTACATACCTCTCCACCATCATCCAAAACAAATACTTCTCCATGCTCAAACGGAGACATCGTTCCAGCATCGGTATTAAGATAAGGATCTGTGTAAACAATGTAAAATGATCATATAGCTAGAAACCAACATCCCTTGGTAGCAATTAAAGTGGCCACAAGAACAAAAAGGTGTCTCCTTTAGTTGTTACATGCAATCTCATAGACAAAACACACATGATGTATGTAAAATAATCTCACCAATCTTAATGGAAGTGACACGAAGACCACAGGCTTGAAGGAGGAGTCCAATGCTACTTGCAGTGACTCCTTTCCCAAGTCCACTCACCACTCCTCCTGTCACCAAAACATACTTCATTTCTTTCGTTTTGTCTCTAACCTTCTTCTTACACTTCACCTAAACCATCAAGAACAGAACACAGTAAGCATATGACGATAAATCTCTTCCTCAGAAAGAGAATATGGTTAAGGTATGAATCAAACACACACAAAAAGTGTGAATAAGAAATGCAAATTTCTACCTCTTGTCGAAAACAACAATAGCCTTTGAGATTTTTCAAGGCGGTGAATTAAAAACAAGTTCGTATTTTTATTTTAGTTTTTAATTTATTAATAATTTTAACATAGTTGTGGCTTTGACCCATCTGAGTCTTTACGAGCTGTACATTTCATTCAATACCATGGAGACACATGTGTTGAGATTGTGGGAGGTTGCATAGTGTTTTGGTAAGATAGGCCCAGAAGAGGGTCTTGGATAGATGTATTGGAGACTGTGAGTCCAATTTTAAAACCAATCAAAAAGGTTGTTAAAAGAGATGGGAAAGGTATCAAACTTTTATTTGAGTCTTTTCTCTACTACTTTGATCGTGATTCGTTCGTCCTTTTGTCATTAATACAGGCATTCACATGTTTTCATCATAACTAGAGACAAGAGTAGTCTACAAGCCCATGTATCTTCCTCTTCAGCTGATAAGAACCAAAAAGGACCCACTATCAGTTTGGCACCGACATGCTTCTTGCTGAAGAAGCATGTTTTCAAGAACTCTTGGCTTCTCTCTGTATGCAAATAAACGGCTTTGGAAACTCTGTGTGTGTGACTTCAATGTTATTGTGGAATTTGGTTGGAGTTTACTGAATTATTGCTTTTAAATTCCTTTATCAAGTATTGAATCACTGAAGAGAATAATAATGGTAATGGTGAAAACTTTAGACCCACTTGTTGCCTTTATAAACAAGCTCTACTGCATGACCAATTGTAGGAAGTATACTCAGCAAAGTAGACTCACTCAATCTCTTCTTTTAGTTGTAGGATATGATAAAAGGGATTTGAGAAAGGAGAAACAGATGCAGAAGATAGTAAGTAAAACAAGATTACAACACGCTTATCATCTTATCTTACACAAAGCTGGCTAACTCACTGAGTTGTCGTGTCAGTTGCTCCAACAGCAGCATCAGCTTCTGAAGTGGTTTTGGCCATAACTTCACCTGGAGGAGGATGGTCAAATTTACAAGTTGCCCCGTACTTGCAAGTCCCTGTCTTCATGTAATATGGGCAATTTTGCGCACCCTGGCAACAGTTTTTAATATTTCCTCTATTAGATAACCACACAGATACCAGCAATGCAGTGTGGATTCTATTTGTAGGTACCTCTCTTCTTGGATACCCTGCAAGACTAAGCTTTACATTCGGCTGTTGAGGAGCTAGTTTGCTCGTTGCATTTAACCTATCTGATGGGTGATGGAACCTGCACCTCTCTCCATACTTGCAATCCCCTGTCTTCATGTAGTACTATAATATATGAAAGAGAGTGAGGGGTTTTAGTAAAAGTCCAACTAACATGTCAACAATCTAAAAATAGCACAAGAATAATACTCACGTCACATTCTGGTTGTCCAGGTCTTTGGGGATAAGTTGCCGAAAGCGCTCCTAACTGTAACAAGTTCTACTTTAATTAAAACTCCAACAGCTTAGGAGGAGCATTTGAATATTTCTTACAACATTATTGTAGACATTTGCCGTGGGTTGAGCAAGAGTCTGATAGAGGGAGGCAGCTGAGTTAACCAACCCAAGGTTTAGATTCGCAGTGGTCGGGGACACTAGAGGATAGTTTATCCCAGCAGCCAGAGGATAATTTAACCCAGCAGCCTGAGGATAACTTATCCCCGCAGCTTGGGGAGTGAATGCTGTGCACAAGAGCAAAACAGTAAGAGGCACACAGAAGATACCGTAAAGATTCTAGGAAGTGAAAGTGGTACATTACAGATTCTAAGAACACAAATATTGACATAAGACATGTTCACTAACCAGTCCTCTCGGGGTGATTGTAGCGACAGGTGGCGCCATACTTGCAGCTGATCGTAGAAATGGAAAACATAAAAATGTGTCACTTTTTCTTTTCTTTTCAAGATTGTAAACAACGACTTTGTATTTGATATTCACCTTCCGGTCTTGAGATAGAACGGGCAGTCTACTTCACTCTGTAAAAGCTACAATCTAATTAGTGAAACTTCATTCTTAGATGACAGACCAGGTCGGCAAATAATCTTCATCAGTTCTAAGAATATAACAAGACACTAGATAGTTGACCAATTCCGAGTTCTAAGAATAGTAACTAGACATTAGATAGTTCACCAATTCTGACTATAAGGTAATATGTCCTTATTGAACTTGAAGCTGAAACCATTACCGGCCTAACAGGTAGCCCCTTCGAGTTGTGATATGCTGCTGGGGCAAATGTCACATGCGGATTGTTTGTGGCATCAGGTTCACTGGCTACCGCCTCGCTACTACCATTATCTTGGCTAGATGTTGGTAGCTGGATATCCTTTGGGTGGTGGAACTTGCATGTTAAACCATATTTACATTTTCCAGTCTTCATGTAGAACTGTTGCAGAGTAGAAACATCAGTAAAATTAATAATTAGGGTTAGATTCATCTGTGAAAACGGTTAAGTTATGTTACTATATGTGTGTATTTTACCGTGCACGGGGGCTCAGAAGGCCTCTCAGGTAATGGATCTGGATTTTCAACAGTAACCTGATATACAGAAGAGTATCAGGATTTTTATTTGCATGCACAAACAAAGATCATAGTAAAGCAGAGCATTTATTACAAGCACAAGATCTTATGCGGTGCAGACGCATACAAAAACTGAGGAATATGAATCGGAGATGAAAAAGTCACTTACTGCAGCCGCTGTTTTGGGATGATTAAACTTGCACCTTAAACCATATTTGCAACGTTGTGTTTTTACATAGTACTGCCCAAAAGAAAAGACAAAGATGATCAGATCCTAAGGTAAGAACAGAATTAAAGTAGCGAGAAAAGTTTTGAGGAACAGCTTACCGGACAATCTGGTTCACCTGGTCTCTCAGGGTACTCATCGTTTGGAACAACTGGTGCCTGAATGAAAAAAAATGAATTTATCATCTTATCAACTAGACAATGAGTGTAATGTCACTTTCAAGGCAAGAAACGATCTAACAGAGGAAAATGCAGGAATAACAAACACAGATGCAGAAACAGAAACTAAAGCCTTGAAATCACTATCAAGATGCCAAATATCGTGCCTAAACAGTATACATATATTGTACTAAGTTTATGACTCCAGACACCAAGCAAAAACAGTATAGGTATAGATTTTAAGTAATTAGACACAAACTCTTGTGGTATAAAGATATAAGTACATAGCATAATCCAGAGAAGAGAAAAACGTAATCATTATAATGTAAATACTTAGATAGTAGTAAACGATCACCTCTTTCCAATCTGGGATTCCACCTTCAGGAACCCAAATAGGATGATCAAACTTGCAGCCCTCTCCAAATTTACAAGTTCTTGTTTGCATATAGTGAGTACAATCCTTCTCCCCTGCCCTCTGAGGATAGACAGGCAAATGACTCGTACTCTCCAACTTAAGGCGCTTGGTTAAATAGTCCGTAGTATACCAAGCTTCCGTCTGACCGATTGTATTATGAGCACCATAGAGAGTCGGATAGTAGAGCGCTATATTACATAATAAACAGTAATATACAACAACATGAGAAGGTATATATATATGCTTGCTGCTGTATATTTATATCTTGAAAATAATGAATATACGAAAGAATACAGCAGGAATTCAAATATAGCCAAAATAGTATCATCACTTAGATTTACGGTAAATATGTCTTACATATAATCCTTTTTGAAAAGTTTATTAGGAACCATAGGAAGTTGCAAGAAAACATAATCATCAATCAATCACAAAGAGATCTATCCACTTCAAAATTTTGATAAACTTTAGGGATTGTGAACTTCCAAACGCAACAAAGACTAATCAATACCATTATGATAGTCAGATATAGTTTATATGTAAGTAACTCAATGTGAATAGCTAAGCTAAGGTTAATGGTGTCCCAATACACTAACCAATTCAGCATCCTTGGGCTAAGCAAAAGCAAAGAGGAACAGAAACCATCATCGCTCTGCTTGTCCCAAATGTAAGTCAACATCTAACCTTAGACTATACCAAGCTAGAGACCACGATTAAAGATTTAAAGCTACGATTTTTAAATGCTGTGATTGAAGGAACTATCAAGATGAGAGCAGATAAAACGGAAAGGTGAAGACTTTAAGGCTCTCTCAACTTGTACAATTCAAGCAATAAATAACAATTAAACGATGCAGATCTGAGAATTAGTAAGAAAAAAGGACAAACCTTCAGAGGTGCGTTTGACACCAGGAGGAAGAGGCTCAACGACACCTGGAGGAGGAGCCTCCACGCCAGGTGGCCAAGCTTCCTGCTGCTGCTGCTGCTGAATCAGCTGAGGGTAAGCCAAATGCTGAGACGACGCCGTTGCAGCGTTGGGGAGATGATGGTACTGGTGGTACATATCGGAAGAAGAGGAAGTAACAGTTGCTGAATAGTTGTTGTTGGTTAAAGATTCGGATCCGTCTCGAGCTAAGAAGCGAAACGTGGCGTCGGGGTAGTAACGGTCAGCGGCGGAAGAGGCGTAGAGAGAAGAAAGGTTGGTACTTTGAGGTTGCGGTGGGGCGGGGGAGACGGTGGAGGCGGCGGCGAGGGAAGGTTGGTGGGCGTAGCTGAACAATTGGTGACGATGTGCTGCCATTCGATTAGAAACCCTAAAAAGGGAGAGAGGTTTGTTTCTCTCTCTTTCTCTCAGATCCACGAGAAACTAATTTTGATTTGACATCTCTCTCCATTGATTCTCTTTTGTTATTTTTTTATTAAATTGTATTTATATTTCTTATCATTAGATAATGAAAGTTGAGAGTTTTTTTTTTGTTTTTATTTATTACATAACTGAAATGAACACCGAAGCTATAAGTTGAGAGTTTTTTTTGTTATGTCGTAATGATTCTTGTCTGATTGGAATGACTTAAGCTTTCTCGCACTTTTTTAAACTCATTCCTCTTCAACTCTTTGAGCATTGGTTGTTTAGTTTGTTATCTCAGTGAGATGTAATTAAGGTTCTATTTTCTTCTCTTATATCTTTACAAGCAATGGCTCAAGCATATTCAGAAATATGTAAAAGACAAGGTTCTCATCACCATTATCTATTATTGCCAATAGCCTGGCTAAGCAGCTTTCTCTTAGTGAAAGGGCTCAAGCTAAGCACCTTTCAAAAGAAATTGCTACTTGCTGCAGGCACAACAGACTGGTTTTTCATGAATCAGGCAAAAAATGACAGAGAAGTGATAAACACAACCAGAAGGTGGTGGTCTAGTGGTAAACGAAATTTAGGATTTGCTAAGTAATCCGGATTTAAAGGCATCCTACTGCATCTTACTTTGTTGTTACGCGGATATGAACCTATCTTATGGCTCATTTGAATACTTGGAATGAGTATTTATCTGTGGTCTACACACACCATCCCTTTGGAGATTAGTTTGGGTCTCTCCATGGTTAAACAAAAAATAAAAAAATAGATAAACACAACTTATTATTACTGAAAGAAAAGAAAAGCTTACAGAGGGAATGTGTTGAAGAGAAACCTCCAGCTTGAAACTGAGTTTTAAAGTTTAAAGGATTAAATTTTGCGTTGGATGCAGAGAAATACAGAGAAATGCTTCAGAATATCTGTTTGCAAAGAAAGTAACTTGGAACCAATGGCTTCTGTTGCGTCGTCGACAAGAATGTTGTCTCTTGGGACATTTTAAAGAATCATTCGGATTTCTTTGTATCCCATTTACAAATGTTTCCATATATAATAAAAAGCTACTCTCACCTTTTAAGTAACATAGTGATTAGTGACCATAATGAAACAATCAAATCTGATGCTATTCAAAAGCTAGAGATTTGGTTCAGAAAACATTTGATGAAACGTTTGTGATAGCTTTGTAGAATCTGAGCTAAATAAGAGGTACAAATGTTATTCTCAAATTCTGATTAAGCTTCCCTTCTTTGTCTTCCATTTTACAAATCACAAACTGTATTCGTCAAAAGTAAGAATATGAACAAAAAAAAAACATGTATTAGAGTATATTAATTTTAGTAGTTCTAAAAGTACTCAAAGTCTACATAAGCCGTATCATCAGTAGGAGTAGCTGGACCAGCAGCACAAGCAACCTGAGCATCATGCTTAGCCTTCCCTCTCGCAGAGGTCAACGGTCCCAAGTCAACAGGGTCAGGAATATGAGGCGGAGAGGCGCTACGCACCAAAGCCCAGTTCACACCATCAAAGAAAGGATGTTGTTTTATCTCCGTAGCTCCCCGTGTATAAGCTATTCTTCTATGAGGTTCTTTAGCTAAAAGACCACGTATGAGATCACGCGCTGCAGAGCTAACATGAGGAGTATCAGGAAACTTCAACGGCTTGCCAACCACGTTTTGTAACGTGGCTCTGTTGCCCTGACCTTTGAACGGTGTTGTCCCATGTAAAAGCTCGTATAGGAAGATACCAAACGTCCACCAGTCTACAGCACTTCCATGTCCTTCTCCACGTATGATCTCTGGAGCTAAGTACTCGTGTGTGCCTACAAAGGACATTGAACGTACATCTGTTGGCTCTGCCATGAGCTCTGGCATGGATAGGTTGCCTAGGCCTGAGTCTGATTTGGCTTTACGGGTTTTCTTGGAAGGGAGGAGACGTGGGAGGAAGGCTGCGGGGTGCATGCAGCCGTTGACGGCGAACTCTTCGTTGAGGATGGCACTTCCTGTGCTGCAGACTGAAGAGGATTTGACGAGTGTGGGGTTAAAGGAGCAACGTAGGGAGAGGTCAAAGTCTGAAAGCATTATGTGGCCTTCGTCTCGAACTAGGATGTTCTCTGGCTTCAAGTCTCTGTATACAACCCCCAACATGTGTAGATACTCCAATGCTAACAATACTTCAGAAGTGTAGAACCTGTCAATAAACTCATCAGGGAGAAAGATAATAAAATAAGCTTCAAAGTTCAAACACCAAATTAGTGTTGAGCATTCGGATTTACATTGGTTTATTCGGGTGTTTAAGACCCGAATCGGACATTTTTGGGTTTAGGTCGGTTTGGATAATGTTGGATTCAGATCAAGTTTTTTATTTTTCTATTGAATCCCAAATAAACTTAAATTAAAAATGATTTAGATTTTGTTCGGGTTTAAAGCCGAAAAAAGACAAAATTCAAAAAGCTGAGTTAAGAAAAAACATTCTGACAATTCGGAAACTTTTAATAACTTTTTATTTCTAAATTATAATTTTATATATGGTTATTCAAAAATAAAAACTAATGGATATTTTGGTATCCGTTCGGTTTTTAGACTGGTTTTTAAATAAACAGGAACCATTCAAGTTTTTATGTAAATTTTGGTCTGGTTTCGGTTTCTTAATTAGGTTTGGTTTGGTTTTAATATGCCCAGGACTACTCCAAGTAGATGGAATGTTTTGTCTCACCTTGCAGCTTCTTCAGTGAAACGCCTGCTGGGCTGCTTCTGTCTGAGAGAATGTAGATTCCCACCACTGCAGAACTCCATGACCAAGCAGTAGAACTTCTCAGTCTCAAAGTAAGAATATAGTGTCGGCAAGAAAGGATGATCAAGCAGAGATAGGATCTCTCTTTCTGTCTGAGCCCTCAACAACTTGTTTCTACTAGCCAACGAGGCCTTATCCATCACCTTCATTGCAAAAACAGCATTTGTCCCTTGTAGATCAGCGAGATAGACACTGCCTATGTCCCCATACCCAAGACGTTTCAGAAGCCTGAAGCTGTCTAAACCTATTTGAGGTCCTCTTGAAGTGACTGAGTTGATAGCCTCCCACCTCACGTCTCCTCCCGTGTGAGGCTTGAAAGGTGTAGCTGATGGACCCACCGAGTTATCACCATACCCATAATCTCCATTCTTTATGGGGGCTCTCTTGTTGTCTGGAGACTTTGTCTTGTGTTGGTGATGAGCTCTGGCGCTTGGGGATTGTGTTTCAGGTGTGGTTAAAGGGACAATCTTCTTGGGATCATAATAAAGATTTTTAAGAGCATTTTTCTTGTTTCCTAAGCTATCACTCTCGTTGGTTCCTGTAGCTGAGGGTTGATGGTGTCTGACGAGAGGATCCATCTTCTTGAGATCAAATTGACGGTTCCTAGGAACATTGTCTCCTAGTTTAAGAGAAAATGGAGAGGCTTGTATATTGTTTGGTCGAGGCGACTTAGGTTTTACGGTTGGGTCTATCTCATTGGAGCTGACGTTATCTGATGTGTTCTTATTGGAAGCTAAGTCCATGTCTCCAGGCTTTGTGGTGATTCTTCAGCTTATAAAGTAGGTCTCACCTGCGTTGGAATCAATGACATTCACCTTAATATTCTTATTCAAAAGCGAGACAAAAAAACTGTGTTGGGATGATCATACTTACTTGCTGGTTTATAAGACAAGTTGAAGAAAAATCAAACCATGTCAAACTGAATAAACTGCCACCAGAAACCAACGAACAACATACAAGGAAGAGAGATTGTAGTGTGTCATATAAACTTTTATAATAACACAAAAATGTTTCAAGAAATCAAGAATGCATACCATGTTTAAATGTCCGTGGCATAAGTGTGGTTTAGAGGATATGAATCACAAAATCATCTAAACAAAACCAGTTGTTATAATAATGTTAAAGATTCCAATCCAAAAGAAAGAAAAAAAAAAGAGGAAAGAAGGAGACTTTGATGGGCTTGTCTTTTCCAAAACGTTGGTTTATTCCCTTAATAGTGTCTTGACCTGGGAAAGCAGAGAGAGAGGAAAAGACATGAGGAGATGCAGAAGAGATGGAGCGAGTGAAATGTTCTTTGCCTCTCATCTCTCAATCCATTATTTTTGCCGTTAATTCCTGTCTTTAATCTCTCTCTTGTCTAAATTAATCATTTTTCCAATAACCTAAAATGGTCCATTGACATAAACACATCTTAACAAGACATAGTTTACAATTAAAATGAATTAAAAAGAAAGTATAATAGTAAAGCTCACCTGGTCATCAGACATTCTTCTCATCAGACACTGTAGTTTGTTTTTGTTTTGCTAGAGACTACCATACTTTGTTCTTTTCTTTCCTGTACAAATAAAAATCTTGTTGATCTTATCAACTGGAATGAAAAGAAAAAGTTTATTTATGATAATATATTTTATCATTTATGTAAAGCAAAACTGCATAAACATTAGAAAGCCACTTGAAAAATCTAGTGACACTGACACATGAAAGTATGAAACTGATTAAGTGGACCGTTTTCCAAATTAGATGATGATGAGTGGATAGAATAGAAATATGAGGTGTGTTTGTGAATATAGGTCAAATAGATAAACACACACGAAAATAACACTCTTGTTAATCTTATCGTTGAATTGAAAAGAAGCAGTCATTTCTGATAAACACGCAGTTGCACTGATATTTAAGAATAAAATTGAAAATTTAGTGAGACACTAGAACAAAAAAAAAGGGAGTTAACTGATTAGGTGGACTATTTTCCAAATTAGATGATGATTCAAAGGAAGAGAAACATGAGTTGTGTTTGTAAATAGCATACAAACGAAGAGATAAATACAAGAAAAACAACTATAAGATATATGATCCGGAAAATAGGCAAAGGCATGAGGGTATATAAATAGAGCCGTTCTTCTTCCAAAGTGTGTAACGGTCCACATATTAACTAAAACGGGGCCTTCTAATTATAACGACTAAAATATTATTTAGTTTAGCAAACTCTAGGATAAACAAGTACACTTGTTATTTTTTTTTTTCATGTCATACAAATGCCAGAACCTGTCATTTCTTTCTTAAAGTTGTATATAATCAAGCTGGTTTTGTACAAGTGTTCTAACCAGCTAATACACTAGTTGTCGTATAACAAGATACAAAAACAAAATTTTCTAGTAACATATGTTGACGCGGTGACAGATGACTGTCTCCATAATAACTCGCAAGTGGATTTAAGAGGAGAGAGCTGGTCCTAAGAGGTGTGAGAAACGATGTAATGGGTAGACCGTTCGATGATTTGCGGACCAAATCAGTATTGGATCGAAAGAAAACATAAGTGAATGAATGACAGATTATATTGGATTAGGTTTGAGTTCAGTACGAATCACATCGAAACCGTTTGGCATGTGATCCGAACCTCTGAGCTCGAATGACAAACAAATTGATCAGAGATTCATTTGTTTATCTAGTATTTACTCTTCGCCTATTCATTTTCACGTTTATCGATTTTGTTGGTGTGAAATTTGAACTTATAAATATAAATAAAATCTATTTGCTTTTTAGGGGAATCCAATGATTCAACAGCCAACCTCTCGCCCTTGTGAGTTGTGACTTTGAAAAAAAGAGAGAGAAAAACAAGTCAAATTAGGAAAAATTATAGGACTGAAAAATCTAAAATACATAAAACATGGGTTTGGCGTTTTGACATATTAGAGCAACTCCATTCAAAAGATGACCAGATGCTAACTAATATTAAAGTGATGGATATGGTTTTCAAAATTTTAGATACACATCTAATAATTTCCCATTTGAGAAATTATTAGATAAGTATATAAGGTTTATGAGAATATCATCCATCACTTTAACATTACTTAACATCAAATCACTTTTTGATAACTTCATCCTCATACTATGGTCTCAAATCTTCTATATTAAAAGAGAAGTACCATTTATATCTACTACAAAAAGTTATATTGGACTATTTCATTAATATAACATATTTGATTATTTATATTAATCAACCAAATATATATTACTGAAGAAATATTTTAATAATATATAACTATAAAATTATCTTTAATTTCATTTATAACAAAATCTGTTGAGAAAATATCTAACAAGATCTTACCAAGAAAGTTAAATATTTTTATAAAATATATATTATTTAATTTCGTGATTAATATATATATATATATATATATATATATATTAATGTTAATTAAAAATAAAAATTGGTATATTTTATAATTTAATGATTTTCTATATTATATTAAAATAAAATGCTATGTGAAATTAATATAAAAATTTATTAAATTGGTAAAGAAAAATATTTTATTTTAAAATTTTCTTTTATTCACTGTTAAAACATATTAATTTTTNTATATATATATATATTAATGTTAATTAAAAATAAAAATTGGTATATTTTATAATTTAATGATTTTCTATATTATATTAAAATAAAATGCTATGTGAAATTAATATAAAAATTTATTAAATTGGTAAAGAAAAATATTTTATTTTAAAATTTTCTTTTATTCACTGTTAAAACATATTAATTTTTTTAAATCATGTAATACTTTTATACAAAAAATTTTGACATATATTTTTATAATTCACAACAAATACATTATCTAAAAAAATATATTTGATATTTTTAAAAAATGACAACAATATATTATATAAAATAATTAAGATAATAAGATTCTATAGTTATACAATATAAAAATAAAATGTAAATGATATATCTGAAAGATTTTGTTATATTTTTATAAAATGAAAAATTACCCGCACGGATGTGCGGGTTCAAAATCTAGTGTTTCTTTTATGGAAGATGGTTACAGCTTTAAAATAGTGTTGGCTTTTGGATAATAAAAGATCTGTTTAAAATTATAGCTAGTTATTAATACACTAAATAAACTCTAGATGAAAAAATAGGAGTACTAAGTCATTTCTCAAAAAAAAAATAGGAGTATTTTTTTTCATAAGAAACCCAAAATAACATGGTGTTTTTTTAAATGGAAAATCTTGTAATGAAAATTAGCCTCCCTAATTCTCAGGAAAATCACATCTACAAAAATCTTGATAAATATAGTGATTTCAGAAACTAAAACAAAGTAGACATTTCTTTCCAGAACTAAAACAAATCTAAAAACTACCAAAATCAATTAAGGGTTTTAGATTTATTGATTAAAAGGAGAAGAGAGAGAGAGAATTGCGTGTAGGTAGATGTTTATAAATACTCTGGTTTTGAAACATACAAACCCAAAAAGAAGCAAAACATAACAAGAGGAAGAAAATGAAGACAATGACGACAATGTTCTTGTGTCTCATCACGATGCTCCTAATAGCCTCTGCATATTCCAACTCGGTGCGTCTCCACATGACGCACCGTGACACACTCTCGCCGCAGCATACGCCTTACCATCGCATTGAAGACATTATGGGCATGGACCTGAAGCGTCACAGCGCCATTTCTCAGAAAATAAAAACATCTAAAAGTGGAGGTAGAATGCCGTTGGGGTCAGGTTTCGACTGGAATGCGGCGCAGTATTTCTCGGAGATTACGGTCGGAACGCCGGCGAAGAAGTTCAGGGTGGTGGTGGACACAGGGAGCGAGCTGACATGGGTGAATTGTAGGTTCCAAGGGAAAGGAAGGGAGTCGCGTGAGGCCTTTAGAGCAGATGAATCGTCGACTTTTAAAACAGTTGGATGCATGACAAAGACTTGTAAGTTTGATTTGAGGAGACTCTTCTCCCTCGCCATTTGCCCTACCCCTCAAAGTCCATGCTCTTATGATTACAGGTACATGTCATATTAAGAATCTCTCTTTCATTGCTGGTGATCGCATTCTTGTTCCATAGTCAAAATGTGGTTAGATAGAGTTTATTTAAGGATAACAATCTGGTTAGCTTATTTGTAATGACTTGTATATACCAAAGAGGTAATGATGGTGATGGTCATGAAAGAGAGAAATAGAGGGACCTCTCTCTATTGTTATAACATTCTTCTTTCTGTTTTTCTCTAACAATCTAGAGAACTTGAAGGAGACATAAATAACCCACTTGAGATTTCTTAATTCTCTTTTTTTGTCTAAAAAAAATTAATAATGAACCAATCGTGCCGCCACGTGTCAGTGTGGCTCGCGAACAGTGCAAAAAACCCATAAAAGTCGGTTTTTAATTCATAGTTTTTATAATCGATTTTTATACTGTTTATGAGATTCACGCAATAAAAACCCCCTAAAAACCCACTAAGAAACTCTTATAATCATGCTCTAAGATGTGAAAATTAAATATCTTGTCACTATTCATTACATTTACATAAATGTCACTTATTGTGACTTGTGAGTTAGGTTTTGCCTTTTGAGTAATAGATAAAACTCTAGCCTCTCTTATTGTATAATTAAAACCTAATGCAAATATTGCATGTTTTATGCATTCTTACTAACACTAATTTGGGATCGTGTGTGTAAACAGATACACAGATGGGTCAAGATCACAAGGTGTATTCGGTATGGATACATTCACAGTTGGCCTCACCAATGGTAGTGTAACTACTATCCCTGACACACTCATTGGCTGCAGCAGCGACTCAAAAGGTGACAGCCTCAGTGTATCCGACGGTATTCTTGGCCTAGCCTATAGCGATAACTCCTTCACTACAAAAGCCACTAGCATCTTCGGAAACAAATTCTCATACTGCCTCGTTGACCACACCGCCCACAAAAACATCTCCAACTATCTCGTCTTCGGTACTAACCCCGCGTCGGCCACCAAATCTCCCGCAAAACGAACCACTCAGCTTGATCTCAATATCCTTCCTCCCTTCTACACCGTCAACGTCGTCGGAATCTCCATCGGAGACACCATGCTCAACATCCCTCCCCAAGTGTGGGACGTGAGACAAAGAGGTGGGACCCTCTTGGACTCAGGAAGCAGCCTCACGTTCATGGTTGAGCCAGCGTACAGGGCTGTTGTGACAGGGCTAGAGCGTCACCTTGTTGGTGTGAAAAGAGTCAAAGTAGAAGGTTTACCGATGGAGTATTGTTATGATACGAGCAAGTACGACGACAGGAAGCTGCCGCAGCTGGCGTTTCATTTCAAGGGCGGTGCTCGTTTCGAGCCTTATCGTAAAAGCTACCTAATATCTACTGCTGATCCACGAATCAGGTGTTTAGGATTTGTGTCGACCGGAGCTAAGGGTCCTAATGTCATCGGAAATATAATGCAGCATGAATTTTTGTGGGAGTTTGATCTTGCGGCCTCGACCATGACTTTTTCTCCTTCGACCTGCCGTTAGAAATCCATTTTATCTTGGTGTTTTATTACTTGACAATATTTAAAATTTGTTAGTGAAAAAATAAATAAAGTCCGCGTAAAAAATGCGAGATGAACATTGTATATATAGTTTATTTTTATGTACTATTACTTTATTTTGTACTTTGTATATATTATGAAATAATAAAATAAATATATATCTTTTATACTATAGAATTATATTTTTATGCTGGAAAACATAAGTCAATTGACAATTTTAAGAATGACATGTGTCATTTGAAATTTCTATGCTATTTTTTCTGTTTTACATTTTTAAGAACAAAACATTTTCTAAAAACTATCACAATTCCACTATTTCAATATAACTATCTCCACTTTTCATTGTTTCAACAATTCTGTAAAACAATATAGACAAATATAACAAAAAAGATGCAAATGTGTGTAATCGAAATTGGTCCACATTAAGGTATTAATTTTTTTTTCTTGCCAATTTTAACAAATCATAGAGACTGAAAGATACATACTTATGTTTTCTTATACAATATCGTTTATCGTTATTTAAGTTACATTATAGATATTTTTTTTTATGGATTTTATATATTTTAAAATTTTGGATTTGTTTTAGTGATCATTGCAAGTTGGGACAAAAAATATATACATAGTTCACTACTTCTACATTTTCAATCATATCAATCCGTACTTATCTAAATTTTGTTTACAGTAAATGATATTCTAATCAGATTTTGATTCAGAATCATCCAAATATTTTTGTTCAACTCCATTGAAATATCATTAAACGTTACTATGTCCATGCATAACATAGACTAAAATACTAGTATTGATTAATTGAGAAGTCAATAATTATTACATATTTACATATATAGTTAAATTGGCCCGATCACATAATCAAACCACTTACTTGTTTATTTATAGTTATTTATAGTAAATAAATTCATACAATAATCTATGTATGTGATATATAATTAAATTTTAACTATTTTAACATAGATATATAATCTATACTATTAAAGCTGAAGTACAAAAAAATAGTGTTTGGAAACATGAATAGGTATTTAAAATTATAATGATTGGAAACAAGGATAGCCTACAAATCTAATGAGCTTATTTATTAAACTAAAGATTACTGCGGCCCAAAATATCATTATTATTGTTTTTGGGTTTCTATCATTGATATTACTTTATTTCTGAAAATTATTTATACATATATGTATTCATGTTTTAAATGTATTTAAAATAAATCAAGAATAATATATATTTTATTTATATAATTTATATTGACTATTGTTAAAAAATTTTAACAGTGATATACTAGCCCTTCAATTCTTCATGAAAAAGTTAACTTAAAAATTTGAATAAATTGGTTAATGTATATAACTTTGCACCAAATTTAGCAAAAAAGTTTTTTATAAACTATTAATAAAATGTTTACGGGTCATAATATTTTACGATGCCCCTGTTACACAATACAGTGATGAAATACAATGTTTAAATAATGTACTATTACTTAGTCAAATTGGAACAATTAGATTGTAATTTTTGAAATGTTTATATATAGCATAAAAACAAATACCCGCCCAGTCGGACGGGTTATGATCTAGTATATTTTTAATATGACAATCTATTTTTTAACCCATTATAGCGCTAATCAACAGAAGCCCACAACGAATTTTGAGTCCGTTCTAATATTGTAGGCAAGTTCTTAAGCTATGTGACTTTGTTTTTGTTTAGCTAGAGACTACCATACTTTGTTCTTTCCTATATTTTTTCTTTCGTGGCGAAATAAAAATCTTGTTTATCTTATCAACTGGAATGAAAGGAAAAAAGTTTATTTTCTGATATATTTTCATTTACGTAAGCAAAATTGCATTGATATTTGAAAGCCACTTGAATCTACTGACACATGAAAGTATGAAACTCATTAAGTGGACCGTTTTCCAAATTAGATGATAATGAGTAGAAGTAATTGAACTATGAGGTGTGTTCGTGATCGTGAATACAAGTCAAAGATATAAACACACACGAAATAACTATAAGATATATGATCGTTGACGTTTATAAGCTATTGCCTACAATAGTTTCTTAATTCACTGTGATTGTTCTTTTCTTGTCAAAATAACACTCTTGTTAATCTTATCGTTGAATTGGAAAAGAAGCAGTTATTTCTGATACACACGCAATTGCATGCACTGGCATTTTAAGAATAAACTTGAAATTTAGTGACACAGTGGAAGAAAAAAGGGGAGATAACTGATGAAGTGGGCTATTTTTCCAATTTAGATGATGATTCACAGGAAGAGAACATGAGTTGTGTATGTAAATAGCATACAAACAAAGAGATAAATACAAAAAAAAAAACCTATAAGATATATGATCCGGAAAATAAGCAAATGGCGGGGAATGGATGATGTCATGATACCACTACCCCCTATTTCCTTGTGCCGTACGTTTATTTATATGTACACTCTTAATTAACAAAGGCATGAGGGTAAAATACAGCCATTCTTCTTCCAACGTGTGTGACGGTTCACATATAAACTAAAACGGGGCCTTCTAATAACGTGAAATATTATTTAGTTTAGCAAACTCTACGATACACTTGTTGTTTCATGTCATACAAATGCCAGAACCTGTCTTTTCTTTCTTGAAGTTGTATAGAATCAAGCTGGTTTTGGACAAGTGTTCTAACCAGCTAATATACTAGTGGTCGTATAACAAGTTACAAAAACAAAAAAATTCTAGTAACATATGCTGACGCGGTGACAAATGACTGTTTTCATAATACTCCTTTTTCTCACAAAGAAACATGCTTTAGAATAGGGGCTATGTAGTTCATGATGTAACATTTAAACATTCTTTCTTGTCCGAAGCAGTTAGGATTTAACATTTAGACAAAAAAAAAAAAAAAAAAGTCCGTAGGATTATAATAAATTATTTTTCTTGTCGTCAACGTTGTAATTGTATAATTATTGGGTGCAAGCAAACTGGCAGTTTGAATTTCCCACTTCCTCCACTGTCTTTGTCATATTCGTTACATATTGGCTTCGAATGGAACGTGCAGATCAGAAAATGCAGATCAAACAAAAACGCAGATCAAGCAGAACAAATGCAGATCATGCAGATCAAGCAGAACAAATGCAGTTCAAATTAATTTAATAAATATTATATTTAAATAAATGTTAAATATTTTTAATTAAAATTAAATATATAAACAAAATATAACTTCTATATAAATATGT